CACATCAATAAACATATTGCAAAGAAATAAAAAATTTATAAACAATTTATAAAATTTGGAAAAGTTTCTCCAGTTCAACCATCAGCCTTAATCAAATCATCACGGATGTAATCCTTGCAAGCATCGAGACCTTGGCCAACTTATCATCAGCTTCAAAATGACGGCTAAACATTTTTGGTGATTCACCGGGTATGGGTTCAATTTTAACCCAAATATTTTTGATTCGATTGAGGTGACAATGCCAATATCGACAAACTCCTTGCTCGGCACACAAATCGGTGTACCAACTTTCACAATACAATTTTTCGACCATTACACCCATGACAAAGGGGGTCACGACTGTTAAAGATGAACTGTGGCAGGGGAACACGGCAATTGATTTAAATTCTTCAAATAAAGCACGCAAAAAAAAATAATAATTTAATTTCATACAATCTCAAACTTCACTTTGGTTACCATATTTTTCAAAATAATTAACATTGCTGTTAAGTATTTTTTGGTGAGAGAACATCAAAAAGTGCATTTTCCATTAAAATGTGTAGCCCTCTATAGCACAAATTTGACACTAATATTGGAAAATGCGTCTTGTCATGTCTTTACGATTGTATGTCTTTGCTGTAATATCAAAGACATACAATCGTAAAGACACGACAAGACGCATTTTCCAATATTAGTGTCAAATTTGTGCTATAGAGGGCTACACATTTTAATGGAAAATGCACTTTTTGATGTTCTCTCACCAAAAAATACTTAACAGCAATGTTAATTATTTTGAAAAATATGGTAACCAAAGTGAAGTTTGAGATTGTATGAAATTAAATTATTATTTTTTTTTGCGTGCTTTATTTGAAGAATTTAAATCAATTGCCGTGTTCCCCTGCCACAGTTCATCTTTAACAGTCGTGACCCCCTTTGTCATGGGTGTAATGGTCGAAAAATTGTATTGTGAAAGTTGGTACACCGATTTGTGTGCCGAGCAAGGAGTTTGTCGATATTGGCATTGTCACCTCAATCGAATCAAAAATATTTGGGTTAAAATTGAACCCATACCCGGTGAATCACCAAAAATGTTTAGCCGTCATTTTGAAGCTGATGATAAGTTGGCCAAGGTCTCGATGCTTGCAAGGATTACATCCGTGATGATTTGATTAAGGCTGATGGTTGAACTGGAGAAACTTTTCCAAATTTTATAAATTGTTTATAAATTTTTTATTTCTTTGCAATATGTTTATTGATGTGGATGCCTGAAGATTACGATGCGGATTCAAATAATGACCCATGAATACTAAAACAACAATGCTGTGTCAGGGTATGTCAGGGTATTATAGCTCTGTGCAGCCCCAAGAGTTTGTAACGCCGCGACGTGTTGGTCCTAGGCCCACCGTTAAGTATACCGATCGTCATATATCGACTAGCTGAATCGATCTAGACATGTGTGGCCGTCCGTCTGTCCATTATTATTTGTTCTTCTGGCCAATGAAGATCCCTATGATTTTTGGTAAAGATCAGTTGATATTAAGGGGATGAAATGGACCAAATACTTTATTTTTGTCGGTTTTCTGGTCGCTCCAGAGGCCGCAATTCTGACCCCAACATTGCGAATTTTTACACGGAGAATGGGATCAGGGCAAAGAATAAACATGCCAGTTTTAAATAAAGATCGGTCAATATTTAGCGGGTCAAATGGACCCTGACTTTTGTGTGAAAAATTAAAAATTTTTGTTCTATACGGAATAGAGTGGTTGACCTTTAAATTGATACCAATACCAATATTGTCGTATGTACTCGGCTGCGGGAGTTACACCTAAGTATTAAGAGGTGTTTAGGTTACTCAAATATAATTTAGTAAACCATTACCACACGGTGATCGCTTTGAAATGTTCCATGAGGTTGCAGTTATGGTCAAGGACAACGCCTATAATTTTCGGTGATGATCAGATAATAATTTTGGGCTGAAGTGGACCAAAAACTTATTTTATTGTGTTTTTACGAGTCGATTTATAGGCCACAGGCCGAATAGCACAGCACAACCCACGGTGAAGGGAATCTGGACAAGCACTTAGAAGGGCTGTACTGAATATTTGTAATATTTGTTTATCTCTAGTCGGTCAAGAGGTTGCAAATATTGCGAAATATTGCTCAAGCTCAGAATAAAGAACTACAGGAAGTCAAATTTTCGTTGAAGTTGTGTAGGGTATCATATGGTCGGCCCCGTTCGGCTATACTGCTCGGCTCACTGGTTTTCAATCTATTTTTTTTTTACTTATGACTAAAATATCCTCCGTCACTTCAAAATTTTTATTTCCGCTTCAAAAAAAAATCTTCCCAAAAAAATAAAAACACACAAAATTATTATGTTTATGGCAATAAATAAATTAATTATACAACAACAAAATTATAAAAAATGTTTTATTATTAATAATTGGGTACTAACAAACCGATTGGATTATTAGTTTATGAGTTATCGTGCCCGCCATTCGCGAAACGCTGCTTCGAGAAATGCGTTTAAGAATCACTCTTGTCGTCACTTGATGCTGACTCAATCAATCGGCTATATCTTCAAGAGTAGATCGGAATAAAAAAAATATGACACCGAGAATAGGGGGCTTTGGTGCACCTTTTACATAAAATCTGACAAAACTATATATGAGAGCTATATTAAATCTGAATCGATTTTCTCGAAACTTAGCACATATAATTCTGGACCTAATTGCCAAAGTGCCAAATTTCGTGCAAATCGAAATATATGAAGGGACTTTGGTGCCCCATTTACCTTAAATCTTAAATCTGAACCGATTTTCTTTTTCGCGGTCTTCAAAGTCTCTTCATAGTATCCAGATTTTTATTAAGTTGATTGAAATAAGTATTGAATATATATTCCCTTCTTACGTTTATAAATTAAAAAGCTTTTTCGCGGTTTTTCACTATTTACATTGTGTTTTCATTGCATCGGGGGTTCACAATAATCACACAACACCACATGTGAATACAAAGTTCAATAAGTTGTCGTTTTTAAACGATTCTATGGCGTAGGAGAAACTCTTTAAATTACTAAAAAACCTAAAATACTATGTTATTTTTGGTTATATATAATAATAATTATATATCATATGTACATACTCTGTTTTTATTGTATATTTATACATTTCTGTAGCAGCGACAAAAATTCACCTTGCACATTGTGGAACACATCATATATATTTGAAGAATGTTGCCAGCCATATAAATTGTTTTTAAACTCTCTAGGTTTTTTCTGTCATTATTCCATTGCATTTCAGAGAGTAAAAAATGTAGTTCTCTTTGTAATTAACAGAAAATGTTGTTACGATATCGTAACAACAGAGCAAAAGCCATCTAACGGCCAACTTGGAAATTCAATTGTCCTATCTTTATACTTTTATGTCTTTGGTAATATGGTGTAAAGGGTTCTGCAAGGCTGATTTACAGACAAATTTGTGCGGTGTACATAGAGTCCAAGTTTTGATAAAAAAAACGCATAAACGTTCCGCTTCTTCTTCGAATTTAATCGAATTTCCTCATATAAATTTCCTGATCGACTTAAGTGGAGGGAATAAAAACTGTGGACGAATTTAACGTCCTCTTTTAACTTTTTTATATAAACGAATCCTTGAAAACAATTTGCGAGTTGGACAACTTTCTTACCTACAAAAAACGAAAATATTTTATAAATTTAATAAAAAAACTTGATTTTATATCCGCTTACCTTACTCTTGAAGTCTGCCACATAAACCACCCCTATGTTACAGAATAATTAGATTTTTGACAATCAGGACTTCATCCGCTTCAAATGGATCACCATATTGAATTTAAAAAGCCGTGGAAAAGTACAAGGCCCTTGGTGGAGTCCAATACCTCAAGAAGTATGAATTGCGGCAATAGAACAAAATGGTATCGTTGTAATAGGGTCCATAAAAGATTAATTATGATAAAATGTCTAAACGATCCGCAACCGGTCTTTAATTCCATATTTTAATTTTTTTAGCACACACTTCTTGGCATTGAATTGCAAAATTTACTGGTGGACACCAATAACACTTTTCAAGCAAGCACTGTTTTGTTCGTTGATTTGCCGCCATTTCTGCCGGCAGCTAACAAGCCACAAGACACATTGCATTAAACACTTTTAACGACATTATTTCCATTTATTTTAAAGATTTCCAATAAGAAACACCATTGTCGACACGATTTCGAACTTTTCCGACCGTTATTTCTATGGTTTTCACTTATTTTTCGCCATTTTTCACGACCGTTTCGACAATCAACACAAACGAACGAAAAAAAACTAATTGTCATTATTGTGATTTGACAACATGAACGGCCTGCTTCTTCTTCTCTACTACATTTTTATGTACTTTGGAGTGAGAGTAACGGCTATTATTTTAACTATCTTGTAAAGTAGACGTAAACACATACATATATATTTTAGTGCAAATAGCCAATATATATATATATATATATATATGTGTATATAATATATATATATATATATATCCAATTAAATTAATATAAAATTATTTTCCCTCCCAAAGAGGCATATAGTAAACAACTGAGTCGCTCTTATTGTTTACGCCGCTATCTCGATTTATAGATCCCTAATTAGTGAACGGGCAAAGACAGAAAGTCGATTTACTTATCCCTACCAGTAATTGGCAAATCTTGTCTTGTTTTGGCAACGAAAAATAAGAAAAATAAAACAATATAAGTAAATTAGTAAATAATTAAAATAATTGATAAATTCATAAACAATTTGTTAAAACATCCACGATTCCATCTATATCAATCGTGTTCGAACTATTAACCCCCCGAAAAAGGAAATATTTTGGGTGGGTGGTTTTCTCTTCTGTTATTGTCTAATAAGGCCATCACCACCAGCAGCAACACCCTCATCTTGGACACAGACATACACACACTCACTCACCCATTGAGTGAGAGTGCAACAGCTTGGTGCAACATAAATTTGTTGTTGTTGGTTGATTTTTTTTATGTAAAACAGATCAAATACAAAGGGGCATGAATGTGTTTCGCCAGCTCAGTTGTAGAAGCGCATAAAAAGCTATTTATAGCTAACACAAGCAGCCAGAACACCAATAACCCGAACAAGAGCATCACCGGAAGTGAGAACCTATCTGGTGGTGGTGTCGGTGCTGGTACAGTCAAGGGATTGCGTAGCAGCAGTAGTATTGGTGGTGGCAGCAGTGCTGGAGGAACTACTGCTAGTGGCAGTAATACAAGTCTGAAAAACATCAAGATGTCACGAAGTAAAACACGTATACCAACCGAAGTCTGCGGTGATTGTGGAGCATCGGGTAAGAAAAAAAATAAAATAGGTATATGGTTACTAATAGAGATTTTTTTGTCAATTGTGGGAGTTTTTGAATAGAAGTCAACCACAACCATTACGTAGTTTAATGATAGATGACTGGGCGTTGAGTAGAGGTCGAGTTTTAATGAGCAGTAAATAAGGGAACTCGTCATCGACCCGGTTATCATTGACATATCCCCTCTTGAAAACCACATCACCGAATAGATTTTAAAAAGAAAAAAATTGTATGTGCACTAAAAGAAAATGTTCTTAAGGGCCCCCAAAACCTTGATTGTCTAAATATTTTCTCAAAGTCCCTCAAAGCGTAGATTTTTTAAAAAATATTTTCTTATAAGCCCCCAAAACGTAGATATTTAAAGAATATTTTCTCATAGTCTCCCAAAACGTAGATCTTTAAAGAATATTTCCTCAAGGCTCCCATAACGCCAATGAACATATGTTTAAGGGTCCCCACAGATTCGATTTTAAATGAATATTTTCTTCACGATACCCAATGCGCGAATTTTGAAAGAATATTTTCTCAGGGGTCCCATTAGTTTTATTACCCCAGGGTACTTCCCTGCAAAAAATACTTTTTATTCCACACTTTATCAATTTTTATTATTTCATATTTGTTTTCTTTGCACATTTCAGATCCCTCCTGGGCCTCAATAAATCGCGGCATACTACTCTGTTCCGATTGTTGTTCAATACATCGAAGTTTAGGACGTCATATTTCAATTGTCAAATCTCTACGCCAAGGCAGCTGGGAACCTTCCGTATTGAACTTCGTGAATTCTCTAAATGCTCATGGTGCCAATTGTGTATGGGAACATCATTTACTCGATAGTACAACATCGGGTAATAAAGGGCAACATCGTATCCGCAAACCCACCCCCAAAGATCCTCTACATCCGAATAAATCCGACTTCATTAAAGCAAAACATGTACAATTGGCATTCGTACTCAAGCCAAATTTACAAGATGCCGATGATGATATAACCGGTTCAGCTGGTTTGGAACATGAATTAAGCAAGCAGTTACATGCTAGTGTACGTACCAGCAATTTAGAGACATCCTTACGATTGTTGGTACAAGGTGCCGATCCAAATTTCTTTCATGAAGAGAAACGTTCCACGCCCTTGCATGTGGCTGCCAAATTTGGCCAGGCGTCACAAATTGAACTGTTGATAGTGCATGGCGCCGAAATTAATGTGGTCGATGGCAACGGCTTGACACCGCTCGAAGTTGCCAAAGCCAATAATCACACTTTGATTGCTGATCGTCTGTTGGATGCCATGTATGAGGTTACCGATCGTATTATTATGTTTTTGGGTGGCAAGAAACCAGAGCATGCGGTAAGTTGTAAAGTTGTCTTCGATATCTTTGAGAAGTTCTTAATGATTTCTCATTTAGTCTGGCCGCCACTTGGTTATACCCGACACTCATACTGGTGAAATAAGCGAACAATTGAAAATTGCCCGTGGCCGTTTGCAATTGGTACCGAATAAAATCTTTGAAGAGTTGGTTATGGATTTGTACGATGAAGTCGATCGCCGGGAGAATGAAGCAAGTGAGTATAGCACAAAAAAAAAATTATTATATCTGAGCGGACCTCTTTACAAAATTTCAATGAAACTGAGGTCTGTGTGAATTTTTTCTATAGAAAAAATATTGAACTATGCCTCCGAGTGTAAACATAGGTCTGTTCGAATTGTTTCTATAGAAAAATATTTCAACTCAGTGTAAACGAAGGTCTATTCGAATTTTGTCTATAGAAAAAAATGTTACCTCAGTATATTTTAGGTCTGCTCAAGTTGTTCTCTAAAGAAATAAATTGAACCTCATTGTATCTGAGGTCTGCTCGATTTTTTGTTTTCCTTTAGAAAAAATGTAGATCTCAGTGGAAAAATAGAGCTTAGGAATAATAAATTTGTTTCTAATGTGTTTCCCTTCTTTCTTTTTAGTTTGGTCTACCCCAACCGTAAATTCGGACAATGTTGCTGGTGTACCATTTTTGCCAGCTAATCCATTTCTAAGTGCCACCCGTAATCAGGTATTTACAAAAACAAAACACAACACTGTTGTTGTTGTTCTTGTTCAGCCTTAAATTTTCCCATGCTCAACAAATTTTGTTTAATTATATCATTGCGATTTATTTGTGTTTTACTTTCAGGGTCGTCAAAAATTAGCACGTTTTAGTCGTGCAGAATTCAATGGCCTATTAACGGATGTTTTAATTGATGCAAGACGTCGTCAAAATATGGCAAATTTACGACCACTTGATGGACCCCAACCGCAACCACCAACCACTGCAGCAGCAGCATCATCGTCTATGCCAAATAATAATTTATCTGGTTTCTATGGTTTCAACAATCAAAACACCACCAACAATAACAATAATAACAGCAGCAGTAGCTGCATTGGTGGCATTGGCAATGATTATCATGATCCAAATTTATCCGATGATGAACCAATTTATGATCCCGTTGCCGATGATGATTATGAGCCAATGCCTCCGATGGCCCAACAGGTAAATTTAATGCGACAGAAAATTTTAAAACTCAACAATAGTTTCGGTTAAGCACTTAGACTGAGAAAAAGTAAAAACAAGTAGAATTTTTTATGTTATTGTGTTTAATAAATGATTTTTCGATTTAAAATGTATTCGGTTCGAAATATTTAAACTAAAAACGTATAGAATAATAACAATATACAAAACTATGGATGGTAATAATGGACAAACATTTAACGCTAACCATCAAAATCGAGGTAGACAAACATTTATTTCCTTTAAATAAGTAAAGTAGTGCTAAAACATTTCCAAAAAAGAAAAACGAAAAAATACCTAGTGAATCGAAATCGAACGTAAATAACGTTAAAAGAAAACATACGCAAACTGTGCTGAAAATATTTTGAATTTTTGATAACTATTTTTTTTAATATGTACCCTAGGCGTGGATTTTTTAAAAAATATTTTTCAAGGCTACCATAAGGTGTGAATATTTTAAAGAATACTTTTTGAAGGCTACCATAAGGCGTGGATTTTTTAAAGAATATATTTCCAAGGCTACCTTAAGGTGTGGATTTTTTTAAAGAATATTTTTTTTCAAGGCTACCATAAGGGGTGGTATTTCAGGGTTTATGGAAGGCGTGGATTTTTTTAAAAATATTTTTTGAGGCTGCCATAAGGTGTGAATGTTTTAAAGAATACTTTTTGAAGGCTACCATAAGGCGTGGATTTTTTAAAGAATATTTTTTCAAGGCTAACATATGGTGTGGATTTTTTTAAAGAATTTTTTTCAAGGCTACCTTAAGTTGTGGATTTTTTTAAAGAATATTTTTTTCAAGGCTACCATAAGGCGTGGTATTTCAGGGTTTATGGAAGACGTGGATTTTTTAAATAATATTTTTTCAAGGCTACCATAAGGCGTGGTAATTCAGGGTTTATGGAAGGCATGGATTTTTTAAAGAATATTTTTTCAAGGCTACCATAAGGCGTGGTAATTCAGGGTTTATGGAAGGCATGGGTTTTTTAACGAATATTTTTTTCAAGGCTACCATAAGGCGTGGTATTTCAGGGTTTATGGAAGGCATGGATTTTTTAAAGAATATTTTTTTCAAGGCTACCATAAGACGTGGTATTTCAGGGTTTATGGAAGGCGTGGATTTTTTAAATAATATTTTTTTCAAGGCTACCATAAGACGTGGTATTTCAGGGTTTATGGAAGGCGTGGATTTTTTAAATAATATTTTTTTCAAGGCTACCATAAGGCGTGGTAATTCAGGGTTTATAAATTTTGCAAGGATTCGGATTTTTTAAAAATATTTTTGCTAGGATTTGGTTTTTTAAAACTATTTTTGAAAGGATTTTTTGAAAAATAGTTTTGCAAGGATTTGCATTTTTTAAAAATATTTTTGGAAGGATTTGGATTTTTTTAAAAACGTGTTTGAAAGGATTTGGATTCTTTAAAAATATTTTTGAAAGGATTTGGATTTTTTAAAAATATTTTTGAAAGGATTTGGTTTTTTAAAACTATTTTTGAAAGGATTTTTTGAAAATAGTTTTGCAAGGATTTGCATTTTTTAAAAATATTTTTGGAAGGATTTGGATTTTTTTAAAAACGTGTTTTAAAGGATTTGGATTCTTTAAAAATATTTTTGAAAGGATTTGGATTTTTTGAAAATTGTATTGTAAGGATTTAAATGTTTTAAAAATATTTTTGAAAGGATTTGGATTTTTTGAAAATATGTTTGAAAGGATTTGGATCTTTTGAAAATAGTTTTGTAAGGATTTAAATGTTTTAAAAATTGGAATTGGATTTTTTGAAAATAGTTTTGCAAGAATTAGTATTTTTTGAAAAAAAATTTGCAAGGATTTGGATTTTATAAAAATATTTTTGAAAGGATTTGGATTTTTTAAAAATATTTTTGAAAGGATTTGGGTTTTTAAAACTATTTTTGAAAGGATTTGGATTTTTTGAAAATAGTTTTGCAAGGATTTGCATTTTTTTTTAAATATTTTTGAAAGGATTTGTTTTTTTTTTAATATTTTTAAAAGGATTTGTATTTTTTGAAAATAGCTTTGCAAGTATTTGGATTTTTTAAAATATTTTTGAAAGGATTTAAACTTTTTAAAAATATTTTTGAAAGGACTTGAATTTTTTGAAAACTGTTTTGCAAGGATTTGGATTTTTTAAAATATTTTTGCAAGGAATCGGATTTTTTAAAAATATTTTTGAAAGGATTTGGTTTTTTAAAAATAGTTTCAAAAATATTTTGACATGATTTGGATGTTTTAAAAATATTTTTCAATTTTTTTAAAAATAGTTTTGCAAGAATTTGAATTTTTTAAAAATGTTTTTGATAGGATTGGAATTTTTTAAAAATATTTTTTTTTTAAATTTCAAAGTAGTCGGAAATTTTTTTAAATGTTTATAAATATTTTTCCGTGATTTTTTTTCTAATTTAAAAATTTATAATCGTCTTGCTTATTAGATTATAGGTATACCATTAAGATATCATATTAATATCTAAACAACCATTAGTAGCTTAATATTTATATGTCGCATCATTGCTTACATTATTTAGAATTATCCTATATATAATTTTAGTCTAAATAATAGATTTTAGTCAACAATTTATACAATAAAAATTTTGATACATTCAATAAAAAAATTAAAAGCAGATCGTGTTCTATTTATTGCTTATAATGTTTGAAATTTAGAATTTATTGAAGAAAAATAGCTTTTATCTTTTATTAATATTTATTTTACCATTTATTTATTTTATAGTTCTTAAGTTGAAATTATTTTAGATAACTTTTTTTCTAGATTTTATTTAAATATTATTTTGTTTAAATTTTTTATTTATTTTTTTCTATTTTCGTTTAATTTTATGTTTCATAACTTTGTAAAGGCCATTGTCCACCAATCAGCCAAACCGCCCGAGGAGGTGAAAAATTTCGAAATGTTGCACTTGCGTAAACAAATCAATGAATATGTCTCGGAAATCAATCAGCTGCGTAATGTTGTACAAAAGCTATCAAATGAAAATTCCGAATTGAAGTCGAAATTTTCCAGTGTTGATCAACAGCAGCAACAACAACAGCAGTCGTCATCAGCCTCAGCATCCAATAACAGTGTTTATGATGAGCCATTGTGAGGATTATGTTCTTTTCTTTAAATAATTTTTGATTTTTAATTTAATTTTATTTTTATTTTTTATCAATTTTTTTTCTTTTTTTAATTTTGTTTTTATTTTATAAACATTTTTTGTTCATTAATACGAAAAAAAACTCCACAGACGCATTGACTTTAAAACCGACGACAACGATCACGAACCACATTCTCTGCCAGAGGGTTTAAATTCCAGCTCATCCTTCAGCGGCACAAATCCCCCACAAACATCAACAGCTGCTGCTGGTGGCGGCAGCTCCTCGACATCGACATCATCATCGACAACAAATTCCCAACAATCGACAATTAAACGACCGGCCAGTATGTATGAACGTCGTTTACAAACGAACATTAGTAAGGCCTCAGCAGATTCTCGTAATACCACATCAATGTATCAAATGGCTGGCATTGATACGGCCAATAAATCTTTTACCGAAGAAGTTAATCAAAAGGCCGATATTGTAACACATCGTCTCAAAGAGCTGATACATTCAATGCAGGATCCAAATAATAAGGAAACCCTAATACCGTGTGCCGAACGTATTAGGGCTGCAGTATTGGAATTGATAAATGTCTTTACAACACCGGTGAGTAGGAGAAAAAAAAAACAAACAAAAAACGAAACGGGATTTTTATATATAAAAACCAGTAAGGAAAGTAGTAAAGTCGGATGGAGCCGACTACATGATGTTCTTCACCACTATGGGTATATTAAACAGGACTATTAACTGAAGTGAAATATGTGATTCATATTTAAATTTTGGATGAACTAAAATATGTGATATTTATCTAAATGTGAATCGACTTAGATCAGTCCATAAACATGACATTCGTTTGTTACAATGGGTCAAAAGTATGTAAATCGACTTCAAACAAATATCAAGAGGACATCCGTTGGGCTATGTCTGTACTCCACAGAAAACGCAACTACGTTATTCTGTGCTCAATTCTTTACGTTGTGCAAAATTTCATGTCAATCTGACAAACATGAGGAGTTTGATGCACCATTTACTTAAAATCGGACGAAAATATATAGGGAAGCTATATCTAGATATGAACCGATTTCAACGAAACTTGTCACAGGTTAGGTCATATTCCTTGGTGCGTCAACGAAACTTGGCACACATCATTCTGGACTAAGTTCAGTACGCTATGCAATATAAGAACTTTAGTACATTATTTACATTAAATCGGACGAAAATATATATATATATATATATATATATCTAGATCTGAACCGATTTTCACAAAACTCAGCACACATCATTTCGGACTCAATTCAGTACGCTATGGCAAATTTCGTGCAAATCGAAAGGTATCTAGGGACTTGTGCACTATTTACATTAAATCGGACGAAACTATATATGGGAGCTATATCTAAATCTGGACCGATTTTCACGAAACTTTGCAGACATCACTCTAGGCTCAATTCAGCGTGTTATGCCAAATTTCGTGTAAATCGAAAGATATATAGTCACTTTTGTGCACCTTTTACATTAAATCGGACGAAAATATATATGGGAGCTATATGTAGATCTGAACCGATTTTCAGGAAACTGCAGACATCACTCTAGGCTCAATTCAGCGCGTTATGTCAAATCTCGTGCAAATCGAATGATATATAGGGACTATGGTGGACCATTCGGACGAAACTATATATGGGAGCTATATCTAAATCTGAACCGATTTTCAGGAATCTTAACACACATCATTCTAGACCTAATTCATTACGCTGTGCCAAATTTCGTGCAAATCGAAAGATATATAGGGATTTTGATACACAATTTACCTTAAATCGGATGAAAATATATATGAGAGCTATATCTAAATCTGGACCGATTTTCATGAAACTTGGCGGACATCATTCTAGGCTCAATTCAGTACGTTATGCAAAATTTCGTGTAAATCGTGTAAATATATAGGGACTTTGGTGCACATTTTACATTAAATCGGACGAAAATATATACGGGAGATATATGTAGATCTGAACCGATTTTCACGAAACTTGGCAGACATCACTCTAGGCTCACTTCAGCGCGTTATGTCAAATTTCGTGCAAATCAAATGATATATAGGGACTATGGTGTACCATTTGGACGAAAATATATATGGGAGCTACATCTAAATCTGAACCGATTTCAATAGGGCTCGTCCTTGGGCCAAATAAATAAACTGTGCCAAATTTCATCCAATTCGGATCATAAATGCGACCAGTACTTTTTTACAATTAAACATGGACAGACAGACGGATTCTATGCATATTCTCAAAAGGAACTATGGGTCTATCTCGTTTCCTTTTGCCAGTTACAAACATATGCACATCGACATAATACCCTGTACCACAGTGTGGCGAAGGGTATAATGATGAGGAAATTTTAAAAAAATAATTTTTTCAAAGACTACCAGGATGTGTTTTTTTAAACGATTTTTTCAAAGACCGCCAAGGCGTGGTTTTTTAAAAAATAATTTTTTCAAAGACCACCAAGGCTTGGGTTAAAAAAAAATAATTTTTCAAACAATATATTTTTTCCTCAAAGTTCTCCAAGGCGTTGTTTTTTAAAAAATATATTTTTTTCTCAAAGTTCTCCAAGGCGTTGTTTTTTAAAAAATATATTTTTTTCAAAGGTTACTAAGACGTGTTTTTAGAATATTCTTCTTATTATTAATATTCTTCGAAAATCCCCACTATGTTGGTCCTTGAAAATATCCTATCTGTATTTCTCTCTCTCAATACCCACCAATTAATATTTGATTTGTTTTTATTTTTTTAGGCAAATTGCAATGAGACAATACGTGAGACGCTGATGCAATTAACACGCAATAATATTTTAATACAGCATAGCTGTGAAAATTTACGCAATTCCATGGAGACGGATGATAAGACAGCAATTGCCAAATATTATAAAGATGTACGGGAATGTGCCTATTATATAGCCAGTGCCACAAAAACATTAGTTTTACAATTGGACTGAAAAATAAAAAACGGAGTTTCCACACCCCTTTCAATGCAGCTCAACCGCATATTATTGAGTTACAATTTTTTGCAATTTGAAAACCACCACCTACATTTGAACCTGTGTGTCTCTATTTTATTTATATTTATTAAATATATATTTTTGTGTGTGTTTATTTTTTTAAATAGCATTTAATAATCCCAAAACAAAACAAAGATCCATTTTATGTATTAACAATTAAGAACAACAAAAAAAATTACTAAACCAAATTTAATAACATTTTGAAAATCCCTATATCTTATAAAAAAAATAATTATTAATGTATTATGATATTCACCAAGGGCATTATTATATTTATAGTCCATGACTATCAAAACTTTTGTATTCCTTTTTTAGTTGTTGTATTTCTTTTTTTACTTACCTTTGGATCTTAACGATCAAAATTGTGCCATCATCATTTTATTGTTTAAATTGGCATTTGCAAAAGACATTTTAATGTTGTACTATCACCACCTGAGTAAATAATATTATTAATTGAAAAACAAAAATACAAATACAATAACAAAGCATTAACAAGATCTTCCAAAATGTAACCAAAACTTTTTTGTAACCACCTGCCTTAATAAAATGAAATTTTTAATAAAAAAAAACGACATAGTTTTAGAAAAGAAAAATGTGTTTATTTTCTTAAGATTATTAAAAACTCACCTTGGAGGTCTTTGAAAAAATCTTGTTTAAAAACCCACACCTTAATGGTCTTTGAAAAAAATATATTTGTTAAAAAACCATGCATTGTGGGAGCCGTGAAAAATGTTATTAAGAAATCCACCCGTGGTATTTTTTGTAAAAATGGCACTGAAACATATTTTTTCTCGTAATTTATTGATCAAAATAAAAACTACATCCCTGCCCCCTATCAAATAGTGAAAGTTTCATTCAAATATCTCCATCCATCGCCTAGTTATGGTCATTTGAAATTGGCAAAAAAATATATCAGCTTTTGTGTAACGCCTAAAAGTATGCTCATAATTTCGCAAACAAATATGGAAACACAAAGAAAACAATCTGGCAACACATGTGCAGTTTTTATGTTTTTGTGGAATTGCAATTTCTTTAGTTTTTCCATTTGCGGTAATAGGCAAACAGAATCGTGTAGCAGCTACATTTTGACCCAGGGTAAATTTCAAATGGCCATAACTCGGCGAAAAATGGAGATATTTCAATGAAACTTTCACCATGGGATTGGGGAAATATTGTAGTTTTTATGTGTATCAATAAAATATGTACATGAGCATTTAATTTTTTTCTACTAAAATTAAAATATTAGGATAACTGAATTATATAGCAGTTTTAAAGATTTTTAGGCCATGAAAGACCTTGGTGGTCTTTGAAAACATTCTTTTTTAAAAAACCAGGCCTTAGTGGTCTTTGAAAATTTTCTTCTTTTTTTAAAAATTGGTCTTTGAAAAATTTCGTTTGAAAAAAAAATTAAAAAATTCTTTTTTTAAGAATCCACGCTTTTGTTTTTTTTTGAAAAAAATATTTTTTCAAAAAAAAATCTGTTTTAAAAAACCAATCCTTGCTGGATATTTGAAAAAAAATCTTTTTTAAAAATTCAGCGCCTTGCCTTGTTCGTACTTAAAAAAATATTTTTTAATCAGCGATTAAAAAACAAAAATTATTTCCATTATTATTTTTATTTATTATTTGTTAAATTATTTTTTGAGTATGTCTTAACGTTTGTTTATTTTTTACTTTGTCTTTATGTTTCATTACAGTAGTTGGTTGTTTATTTTTATTTTTATAGGTTATGTTATTTCCTTTTTGTGTTATATTAATTATAGAATGTATGTATATATATAGAGTATGTTTAATAATTATAATAGTATGAGTATGAGGGTCAACATGGGTGTGTGTGTGTGCTTACATTTATGTATGTACATAAATAAGATTTTTTATTATATATATAGTACATATAATTTTTCTATATAAAATCAATAAATTATGACTAAAAACATTTCGATTTTTTTTTAAATTTTGTGCCACAAAAAATTGTAATTCGAAAAATAAACTGTGCCGTTTAACATTGCCCTAAGAGTTGTTGCCTAGTTATTTTTTCCATTTTTGTTTTGTCTAGCTCCCCCACGCTTCTTCTCCTCTTGCCTTGTTTGATAATATCATTTATTTAAAGCTTTTTGTTTTTTTTTTAATTTTTAAAATAATCAACAATGCGTCTTAGGTGTGTGTGTGTGGGAGGTTCTTTACAATATGTTTTCGTTTGTTTTTTTTTTTAATTTATAAATTATATTTATAATTTCAAAAGGCATTTTTTTAATTGGGTATAACGATTTTTAATATCAGGAGTATTTTTTTAACAAAAATAAAATATTAACAATTATTTAGGTTAAGTTACAATTAAAAGAAAATATATTAATTATAGATTAAATATTTGTGAGTGTTTGTGGAGAGGAGGATGTTTCAAAATGTAAATATTATTTTAAAATATTTTCTGTGGATTTTTTATTTTTATTATATTCGTTTTACAAGAAATTAAATTCAATATCCTTTTCATTTTGTGCTATAACAAACTCTTCTCATCTTGCACTGAGGGGGAGACCCAGCTCCCCAATTGAAAAGAAAAAAATCAAAATTATAATTTTAAAAAACTTAAAAAAAATTAAGGTCTATTATGCGTGTGTTATATGTTTTTTTTTTTTTAATTCAATAAATACTTAGCTCTACATTTTACAATGAGTAGTAATAAAAAGAGGAGCGAGCGAGTGAGTGAATAGTTTTTTTTATGAGTTACCTAAATTATCGTTTACTATTATTTTTCCTGTTAGCTCAAAAAGGACGATTGTTAGTTACTGATTACATATTTGTTGTTGTTTGTTTGTTTTGAGTGTATTTTGTTGTTGTTATATTGTATTCAATTTTGTTTATAAATAACGCCATAGTTTTTCGTCTTCTTTTTTTTGTCATAGAGAGTAGTAGCTGAGTCTATGGAATTGGGGTTTTTGTATTCGATTATCCTTAACAGCCTGGGTCAAATTATTCATCTTCAGCCTCAGTGATTGTTGTGTTTTTTATGGAAGTCTCCTTTTTCATAAGCAGTTGGTTATAGTGCTGAAATAATAACAAATTTAAATTTAATATAGGAAATGAAATCAACACCACACTACTACATACGTCTTCATTTTGTATGCGTATTATTCTATGCTGGATTTTTGGGGCCAATTGGCAGCTGGCCTGTTCCAAGTCATCGAGGGAAGCGCGACGTAACATCTGAAAGGAAAAGAAACGTAAGAAGTTAGCCCTCGAAAAAAATTACAAATTCTTTAACAAAATCCAATCATTTTTTTAAACTTTTAAAAAAAATATTTAAAATCATTTTTTTGTTTAATTTCGTTTTTATACCCTTCACCACCCTGTGGTACAGGGTATTATGTCTATGCGCATATGTTTGTAACAGGCAAAAGGAAACGACATAGACCCATAGTTCCTTTTGAGAATATGCATAGAATCACTTTCTGAGTCGATTTATGCATGTCCGTCCGTCTGTTGGTGTTAAATTGTAAACAAAGTACAGGTCGCATTTATAATCCGAATTGGATGAAATTTGGCACAACTCATTTGTTTGGCCCAAGGACGAGCCCTATTGAAATTGGGTAAAATCGGTGCAGATTTAGATATAGCTCCCATATATATTTTCGTCCGATTTAATGTAAATGGTGCACCAAAGTTCCTATATATGTTTCGAAATTTGGTACAGCCTACTTAATTAAGTCTAGAATGATGTGTGCTGAGTTTCGTGAAAATCGGTCAAGATTTAGATACAGCTCCCATATATAGTTTCGCCTGATTTTAGGTAAATGCACGAAATTTGGCACAGCTATTTGCACGAAATTTGGAACAGCGTACCGAATTCAGCCTAGACTGATGTGTGAAACGTTTCGAGAAAATCGGTTCAGATTTAGATATAGCTCCCATATATACTTTTGTCCGATTTAAGGTAAATGGTCCCTATAAATAATCCGATTTGCACGAAATTTGGCACAGCGTACTGAAGTCAGCCTAGACTGATGTGTGAAAAGTTTCGTAAAAATCGGTTCAGATTTAGATAAATTATCCGATTTGCACGAAATTTGGCACAGCGTACTGAATTCAGCCTAGACTGATGTGTGCTAAGTTTCGTAAAAATCGGTTCAGATTTAAATATAGATCCATATATATATTTTCGTCCGATTTAAGGTAAATGATGCTCCAAAGTCCCATATATCTTTCGATTTGCACGAAATTTGGCACAGCGTACTAAATTCGGCGTAGAGTGATGTGTGCAAAGTTTCGTAAAAATCGGTTCAGATTTAGATAGAGCTCCCATATATATTTTCGTCCGATTTAAGGTAAATGGTGCTCCAAAGTCACTACATATCTTTCGATTTGCACGAAATTTGGCACAGCGTACTGAATTCAGCCTAGACTGATGTGTGCAAAGTTTCGTAAAAATCGGTTCAGATTTAGATATAGCTCAAATATATATTTTCGTCCGATTTAGTGTAAATAGTGCACCAAAGTCCCTATATATGTTTCGATTTGTACGAAATTTGGTATAGCCTACTTAATTAAGTCTAGAATGATGTGTGCTAAGGTTCGTGCAAATCGGTTCAGATTTAGATAGAGCTCCCATATATATTTTCATCCGATTTTATGTAAATGCTACACCAAATTTAGCATTGCGTAGAATGATGTGTGATAAGCTTCGTGAAAATCGTTCCAGATTTAGATATAGCTCTCATATATATTATGTCCGTGAAAATCGGTTCAATGAAATGAAATTTAGCATAGGTTCCAGAAAGGCATGAAGATCTTATATTCAAGTTCGTTCAATTTCATGCCAATGTTCTTTCGAAAAGGCGGAGTCTGATAGGAGACATATGTAGAATATACCCAAAGTGGTCCGACTTTACTACTTTCCTTACTGGTTTAAAATCTATGTCTTTGAAAAAAAATATTTTCTTAAAAAAATATTCTTTAAAAATCGAAGTCTCTGTGGTCGTGCAAAATAAAAATCTTCTTTAAAAATACACGCCTGCCTACCTTTGAGCAATTCGTATTCGATAAGTCTATTGATTTTGTTTGGTGGCCCGACAATTTTCGTATCGGCGATGGACCATCCAATTCGAGATTATCCAACATTTGTACCATACTGTGGCGGCGGGACAGCGTTACCAATGATTGTCGATGTTTGGTGTGGTGGCCACCCTTGCCGGTGCGTAAATTTATTGCTTTAAAGTGATTTTGTACGGTTAGGCCCAGTTCGGGGCAGGAATCATCATCCATCTACAAAGAAGAAAAATGTAATTAATAAGAAATCTCAGACAAGTAAGATCATGCCCCCTACTACTCACCAATACTTTAGCGTCCTTAAACATAGTAAAACCATCACAGCCATTGTAAATGTAACTTTTAATACAGATTTTATATTTCTGTTCCATATTTAAATATTCATCGCCCACTTGCACCAGCTGGGGATCTATGCGTTTGCCCGGTGGTTTGGAGGGATCAAAGGCGAAGGTTACACCAGATACCTAAAAGAAATAAAATTTAATAATTTAGAAAAAACAGATTAACATTTTATTTGCTTTGGTTCTTACCTGAGGAAATCGACCCTCTAATTTCGGATAACCGGATACGGAATTTTCCAATGCCTCATATAAACATTTCCCGGTAATTTCCAACAAAATCAAAGGATCTCTCATGGGTATAATGTTGACCAAATCTCTCATAGTAAATGGCCCGGGCGGATGTATTTGATCCGAACGAAATGTACCCGAATTAATGAGAGCCACATCGGCTCCAGTTGCTGCCAGTGCCACATCACACACCCAATCACCCAAATTTGTTTCCTGGGTACGTATGGCTGAAAACCGGCCATCCAGTTCCACACTAAAGTTACCCAAAACTTCAGTCATTTTAGCCTCTATCACCTCGGAGTACTTGGCCAATTCCTTTTTCAATTCTTCATCCTCCGGGTACTTGGCCGTAACATCTACCGCCTCCACATCGATTTTCAACTTTCCATTTTCATCCCTTTCCTTGTGTATGGTAATTTTTGAGAATTGCCGAAAATCTGTACCGGATTTAATAATTTTAATGCCATTGACCTCCTTTATCTCATAGACATGATCATGACCGCCCAGGATGAGATCAATGCCTGGGCAATGTTCGGCTAAATTAATGTCATTAGGCGTACGCATATGCGTCAGAGCAATAATTAATTCACAGCCTTCGTTACGCAGTTCCTCGGCCAGTTTATTTCCCGCCTGGACATAATCAATGTAGGTCACCTCTTTGGGATCGATGGTGGGCAGCGTTTCAAGCCATTCCTTCTCCACCAAACCGATTAGGCCAATCGATATTTGATTGTGAAATATATAATGGGAAATTTTTCCACCACCCAACGGCCGTCCGGTTTCATTGTCCACCACATTGGACATCAGCCAGGGGAAGTTGGTCTTTTTGATGAGTTCCACAAGGACATCTAAGCCATGGTCTGGAATGAAGAAAATAGAGAATTAATAATTAGACATTAGTGGAACCTCTAAAAATATATTTTTTTAATCCATGATTGGTGGAACTTAAAAAAATATTTTTTTAAAAAGTTTGAAAAAAAAATTAATATTTTTTGGAATTTAAAAAATTTTTTGGAATTTGAAAAAATATTTTCATTAAAAAAATTTAAATATTTTTTAAATACCTTTTTTATAAGTTTTTTTTAAATATTTTTTTTTTAATTTTTTTGTTTTGGTTTTTAAATATTTCTTTTTTTTTTTTTTTTTGAACTCACCAAAATCATGATTCCCAAAAACCGCACAATGTGTTCCAATTTTATTGAGTACCGGCACCATTTGTTCACCCTGGGTAAAGGTACTTACTGGAAAAAAATAGTAAAACAATATTTATTAAAAAATCCAAATCCCTATTAGGTCCACAATCGACTACTTACACATGCTGGGCGAAAAAATATCACCACTAAATAAAACCAAAGGATTATCAACATCAAATGTCCTGACGGCTGTACAAAATCGTGTCGCTCCACCAATCGGCTCAACTTCTGTTGTT